CGTCGCCATGAATGTTCCAGTAAAGCCAATCGACAGCTGGTCAAGAGGAATCCGCCGTCGTCTTCTGGTGAAATGGACTTTCGAATCTCGGAAAATATAGTCAGTACAGCTGAGGTCTAAGACTCAACGCTTTGGCGGGTATATAAAATGAAAAGACGATAATTCTGCCGATGCTTTTATTTAAGATGACAAATAAAATGTTGGCGACACGCAAAATCTGTCTCCACACGACTACTTCCTTTCTGACGCAGACCACATTCGACTTGCACTGGACGCCTATTCGAACCCGCGGCACCAGATCAAGGGCACCGGTACATCTTTCTGGTAATGTAGAATGCCGTTTTGACCCAAAAGTTGGCATATTACGTTTATTTTGGCGACAGGAAGTAGCAAATGTTTGGCGGTATCGCAGTTTGCTTTTGCGTTGAACAGTATTTCAAGATTTCCTTCTCGTCCCATTCAAACTGGAGCGTCTATCTGTACACTCATCCGGAATTTACGCAAACCGGAGGCCTCATCAGCTCCACTCGGATCGAACAGAAAGCCTATACCACTTTGTACAGACTGCTTCGGTCCGAATCGCTTGGAGATTGTTGCGGGTTTATTCCAAGCTGATGATATCTTTAAGCATTTACTCTATCATACCATTTGAAGCTTTCGAATGTACACTTTTGCGTAATATGCATTAATTTGTTTATTTACTTTCTTTTTTACAGATCATCGGCTAGTCGAATCTCGCAGCTCCTCACTCGCTATTCAGCAAGCTAGCATGCATCCCTGTCCTATTTCGACTTAACTAACCCATTAATTAACTAACTGAATTGGTTAATTAATTATGTATTTTATCGATTTCCCCCCCTTCCCCGTCTACTTCATAGAACGGGAAATGTACCGTCTACAATGGCGTAACCATGAGAGCTTATGTATACTCACTTAATCTTCAGCATGACCCAATTTTCTCAATCCGACATAACATCCGACATGTCCGTGCTTCTCGTCTGAGAACTGTTGCCTTTACAGACTTTGCTTCAGAAGAAGATGTTTATTCAACTCTCATTTTCTAATAAATGCTAAATCAGAATGATTAACTTTTGATTGTAATTGAGTCTATCGTGTATGGCGTGGCAAATGGTAGAGTCTAAGGGCATCTGGAGGGACCAACGAGAAGGGGGGCGGGGGCGGTTTCAGGTGAACAGAGCCAAGGCATACACTGACAAGCACGAGTTGTGTATAGTTATTGTAGCAGAGACAACTTAATCATCCGCGCCTATCGGACCATCGTCCAATCTCGAGGCCTCGTCGTTGCCTTGGCGACCAATAGCAGTTACAAATGAATTTTATATACAAGCACCGTGAGATTCGAATTGCCATGGATGGTGTAGGTAATACAAGTTGATTGCAGGAGTGAAGGTGAAGTGAAGTCATGTGAAAGAAGTGAGGGCTATTTGCCTAGAGCAGATTTCAATGCATAACGGGCGGAAAGTGAAGTTGGGCAATTGCCTCAAATGAGGCGAGTGATGCTGTTCCTATGGAGCGCGAAAACGGATGAGCAGCCGTTGAAAGAGTGAAAAAAGGGGAAATCGGACAGATTCAGCGGGCCAGGATGAAAGGTCGGTTGCCTGACAGGAGAGGTTTGCAATCGGGCCAACTTTGATTGCTGATGCGGGGGTATCAAGAAGAAAGACGACCCAATGGCCAAAGTGGGTGGTGAGCAGATGGATATTAGTAGTAGTAGTAGTAGTGAAAATGGTAGTAGTAGTAGTGGTAGAAATAGAGGCAGTAAGAGTAGCAGAATATGTAATTAGAATATCAGCAGCAGCAATATTAATAGTATTAGTAAGAGTATTATAATTCGCTTTAAGAGCAGTAATAATAACGCCAGTATTATCATTTGTATTAATGTTAGCCGTCGTGTAGTAGTAGATGTAGTTATAATAGCAGTAGTAATAGTAATGCTAGAGGTAGCATCGTTTGCATTGGCATAAGAAATAGAGGTAGTTACAGAACCTTTGTTGAAATTAATAGTATTAGTAATATTTGTATTTGTATTAGGCACAAGTACTGGAATATTAGAAGCAAA